GGAGATTTCTGGGAAACAGAAGCCTAAAGGCAGGCTTCTGTGTGCCCAACAAAAGTTCTTCACTGCTAATATCATCATGACTGCCATTTTGAGGAGGCCGCTTTGGACCTAACATTCGTCTAGGAGAATACAAAATCTTATCAATAGTTTTATTTGTATAATAACCAGGTGTGGGGAGGAGAGTGAGCCTTTGAGTGGCACCAGGAAGGTAAGAATCATTAGTATTGTGTCATAAGCAGAGAACCAGGAGAGCTGAATCAGAGGTTAAAGTCCTTTAGGATTCCCCCAGATAGACTCACAAGAGCATCTACACACTGGGTTCCTCCCTATTTTTCCTGTGGTCTCCAAGACTGGATTCTAGGGTATGTGTACTTCCAGGCACATTGACTACTGTTGTGTAACAGGACTCCAGACCTTAGTTGGCCCCAAGGCCTTAGCATAACTGACTCCATGATGGAAGTGCCATTCAGGCTGTCAAACTCAGCATATAGACAGCACCACCTGCCAAAAACTAAAAGACCTGATCCATCAAAATCCATATAGTTCTGGGAAACGGACTAACCTTGCTTGGTAGCTTCTGTAGTTCTGCTTCTGGCTAGCTGTTCTTGTTAACTGAAGTTTGTCAACTCAGAACATGGTTTTTGTGCTTGCAAGCTCACCCTGAGGAAGGCTCAGTATAGTTGCCAGACTGCTAATAGACTTTCTATTGGCTTAAACCCATGCCTGAACAGTCTTCTCTGGTGAATACCCACAGTGGTTGGGATATTTAGATGCAGTGTGAGTCCTTCACCAATGGCTTCTAGAAAGGGAGGAGAAGAGATTTAACCATTATTTGATATATTTTTTTTTTGGATGAAACAATAGTATCCCTGTCTCTTTTCTGTATAGGAAGATGCTGTTGTGTTGAACTGAGTAAAGGTCATGATGTTTTATCACATGGGCAGAATTTTTTTTTTTCAATCAAGAAGAAAGACTTTAATGAAACATAGTTGTCTAAACAACATCTCATAGAGTTAAGCCTAATGTCTGAGGGGTGTTATCCTTTGAATAGCTGGAGAAATATGCCAACCACCACCATCCTTGGTTATACCGTCCTGCTAGATGTTAGCCTGTCTCTTACCAATTGTTCCGTCTACTCGAAGGCACGCCAAAAGCCTTGCTTGACTCTGGCTTTGCTGAGAAGCATGGAGGAATTCTTTTTCCTTGTGTTGACCCTCTTCTTTGTAATTGGAGGCTGCTTAGAGTCCACCCAATGGAGTCTCAGTGGCTTCCCTGGACAGAAGGTGACTGACTCTCCAGGGAAACAGGGCATTTTGAGGATGAATCGCAATCTTAGGGACCTAGTTGGCCTCTGAGATTAGGGAGCAAAGTATTTTCCCTTGAACCCCTCTGACCACATCAGTATTCCTCCACAAAGAGTTATGGAACATTCAGAAGGTCAGTTATACCAGCGGGGACTTTTAACTATTGTGTAATATTTAGATAAAGGGTAGGCAAAAACCAAACATCTAAATTAACCTCGATTAGACTATTTTTTATTTGTTTTCTTAAGCCTGTATTTGTAACTATTACCAAGAATAATTAGTAACTTATGGGACCTCCATTGATTTTAGAGGGTTGACACAAATGTACTGAACTTTGACCTTTTGACCTTTGGCTTTCTTTTCTTTTTTTCTTTCTTTTCTTTTTCCTTTCTTTCTTTTTCTTTTCTTTTTTTCTTTTTTGTTTTTGTTTTGTTTTGTTTTGTTGTTGTTGTTGTTTAGTTTGTTTTGTCGAGAGGGGATTTCTCTGTGTAACCCTGGCTGTCGTAGAACTTGCTCTGTAGACCAGGCTGGCCTCAAACTCAGAGATCCACCTGCCTCTGCCTCCTGGGTGCTGGGATCAAAGGTGTGAGCCACCATTAGTGGCTCCAGATGAGTCTTATCTGTTGAGTTGTGCTTTGGGCCTGCCAAGAGACAGAAAGCATTCCCCCTCTCCCCTTTCAAATGTTAAAACGGAGAGTGTTCAAGCAGCAGAAAAGTCCAGAACTCACTGGAAGCAGAGGAGGCAAGACAATCTGTAAACTTAATGACTACCCTATCTCTTACAAAGAGATAATGGGTTGGTTGACATTTCCATGTTTGAGGTTACTTTTCATCCTGTAGTCTAACTTCAAGCCAGGCAGAGGTACACAAAACATCAAACATCTCTTCCGTTAAGATCTGGGTTTTAATACAGGCCAGGGCACCTTGTCTTTATCCTCCCCTGTGAGGGATGACAGGAGAAAGATTGGTCTGTTGGATAGTAGAGGTTCCTTTTCTTGAGGACAACCAGAGTTTCCTTCATCTTGTCTTCCCTCATTAGTGGTGATAAAGAAAGGAGAAAAGTCTCATATCTTATGACCATTGTGAATCAGATCTGCATTTTGCCTGGTTAAATGCATCCTGCCTGTGCAGGTCACATCGTCCACTAAAACGCCAGAAAACAGCCAATTTTTAACGATTATATGAGTTTGGGAGAGTCTTTGGACTTCGTTGGTCCAAACTAACCTGCCTAACGGATGCAGAGTAGATTATCAACAAAATCTTGGATCAACTTGCTCTGTCTGCCAGTGAATGCAACGTGGGAGAGTTTTGGCGGAAGCCACCCCATTTTTCTCTTCACTGTCATCCCCTTACCCAGGAGGGTGTCTCCAGACTAGGTATGGTAGAGCCTGCATAGTCTGTGGGGAGCAGAGAGAATCGTAAGTATGTGAAATCACGAGTGGGTATAAAACGGTGAGATGAGCCATCCGTGTCAATGACCGAAGCCCATTAGACCCACGGGAAATCTCCCTCCCCCTCCCCATTTACTTTCTGTTAATAAACTCAATGATCAATTATTGGAAGATGGAGCAAGTGCAGGTACAAAAGAGGCCAAGTGTCCCAGAAAAGGTAACGAAATCCCCAGGGGTCATGTCTTCCAGCTGTAAAGACAAATTTAGGTCAGGGAACAGAAAGAGCAAAGGAGTCTAGGAGCATATACATGGTTACAAAGTAAATTAGCGTCAAGGGTGATTGTTTTAGCGCAGATATCCCCGAAAGTGGTTCAACTCTCACAGAAACAGTGGTTTCTTCCATTCATCTTTCCAAGGAAAGAAACTAGCACAGAAAAGAAGAAACAAAAATACCAGCGCGGGGGGGGGGGGGGCGGGGCGGGGGGACGGGGGTGTGTGTTCCATCCAAGTTAGCCCTGGTTGTGACCACGCCCTTTTCAAATTTGTCTCAAGAGAGAAGCCGGCAAATCGATGGTTACTCTCTCCGATTCCTCTTGGGTTTGGCTTGGAAAGTATAGACCTTGAGAATTTCAGGAGGAGCCCATAAATGAGCTCACTTTTCTCTGCCAGTTAAATAATTAAAAGCTAGGAAAGAATCTGCGGGTCTTTCTTCTTGGGAGTCATTAGCCATGAAGGCAGAGGAAGCAGATTTGGTGAGCTGTGAATATGACCGAAGAACTTCCGGGAGTCAGCAGCCGCCTGACAACTCTGTGGTTTCAGGGGTAGGGTATAGAAGGGATCTTAGGGGCACGGGTGGAGAAGGCTAATTGGTCCGAACACACCACCTAATTATCATGTGGGCCGGAAGCAGAGCGGGATTTCTGTGATGCGTCATGTAGCCCTTGCAGAGAGCTCTGCACAGGGTCATCTTCCAAACAAGGTCAGGCATCTGTGCTCAGGCACTCTCCAACCAAGGCCAACGGCCGTATAAGCTTGGAGAACTACCCGGACATGGAGGACCTTAATAACAGGGTTTTCCAAGAGGAATTGTGGCAGACTCCTTGCAGAGACATATGATATCTAGAAAAATCAGGGCTCCGTCTTGGGGTCCTCAATTTCGTTATTAAGCTCAGGGACAATGAACAGAGTCAGAATGATAAAGACAATTATTTTTTAAAAAAAGATTTATTTATTTTATGTATAGGAAGTACATTGTAGCTGTCTTCAGACACACCAGAAGAGGACATCAGATCCCATTACAGATGGTTGTGAGGCACCATGTGGTTGCTGGGAATTGAACTCAGGACCTCTGGAAGAGCAGTCAGTGCTTTTAGCCGCTGAGCTGCTGAGTAATCTCTCCAGCCCCAAGCTAGTACTCTTAACCTTTGACCCTTTACTTTGCTTTGAGGACCACGTGATTAGAGGTTAAAAGAAACCCCCAGGGCAGGCAAACTCTAGCCTCCCAGTCATTTTAAAGACGGGGAAACTGAGGCTGAAAGAAAGGAAGACCCAAACTTGGTAGGATGCTTTGCATATTGATGATAACTCTAACTTCATTGGCTGGGAACAGTATGAAGAGGCGGAGCTTCTGGGGACTGGGGACGGGATTAAATCCGAGGACTCTCCTTTTCATGAAAGGGGTCTATATGTTTCTTCCACTATGTGTGTGTACAGCAAGGAATTTCCCACCTTACAAAGAGCTAACCTTCTCTGGATATGACATCTGCGGGAACCTTGGCCTGGGGCTAACGGTACATTTTTGTTCAAAAATTACATCTAAGGTAATTCTCTATCATAGTCCAAAAGGGGCTAAAATGTCTGAGGAGTGGAGACACTGGTGCTCTCAGGTACAGGAAGGCCAACCTTGTCATATGGCAGAGCTGAGATTGGAGTGGCACCGGGGGGCACAGCATGGTGAGCCCAGCACCTCTGCTGCTTGCTGGGGCTGGTCCATATCTTTGGCTTGTAGGCCCAGAAGGAATACCTTAGTTTTCCTATCTGAGAAGTGGGGATGATTGGGAATCCTAACACACTAGATAGGGCTGGCACACCTTTGAAGACGTTTTGCTTTCAACTAAACCATCCACAACAGGACTAGGAGCCAGGCCTCCTTACACCTCCTCTACCCACTCGTGGGACGCCAGCCGTTTTCTCGGGCTCATTCCTTGCTAGATTCCAGTTTCCGGGGCTCTTGGACACAAGTCAGCTCCCCTTTGGAAAGAAGAGCCAGGCTACGGTATCCGCCCCGTGGAGGCGTGGCCACACTTGGCTTGGTAGGGATCCCTGCTAGCTAGCCTGGGTTTTTTGAGAATCTGGCTATTTTACGGAAGTGGTTCCCGCCGCTTATGCCATGGTCCTGGAACTGTACCTGGATTTGCTGTCGCAGCCCTGTCGCGCCATCTATATCTTCGCCAAGAAGAACAATATCCCGTTCCAGATGCATACGGTGGAGCTGCGCAAGGGTGGGCAGGGCCGCTGCTTTGGGGAAATGAGAAAAAGGGGCGGCAAGCCGAACTTAGGAGATCTCTCTCTGTACTGTCCCCTTTCTAAGCCTTTTCTGTTTTAGAGACCACACGAGAAAGCCATCAGGGAGAACCATAGTTCAGGACTCCCGCCAACTCCGGCCAGGACCTGCTGAAACCAAATAGCGTGCAGACCTGGCAACAGAAATGGGCACGCAGTTTGAGCCTAGCTACAGGGACTTCCAGAAGAGTATGCCAGCCCCGTCTAGTGTGTTAGAATTCCCAATCGTCTCTACTTCTCAGATAGGAAAACTAAGGAGGTGGGGGAATAGCTAGGAGAACAAATGTGGAGATCCGGGCAGTCACCCCTTGTATCATTTTTCCCCAGTGCTGAGATTGGCACTGTTACACAGAGCCATCACTGCAAGTATATACGTTTGCAACAGGCTCAGGCTCTCTGCGCCATCCTGGTGTGTTGGAATTCTTTTTTTGTCGTTCCTTTTCTTGACTTTCTGTTTCACCTTTCTTCGCGGCTCTCTGCCTCCTCCCTGCTGGCTGGCCGCGGAGGAAGCCCTGCACTCTGGCTAGACCGGGTTGTAGCAAAATGAAAGTATTGCTTCAGGGACTGTGGGCCATCCTCATGCTGTCTCACTGCTTGTTTGTCTCTGTCTGAAACCTCACGTCTTTCTTCACAGTCACCTCTGGGTGTAGTGCACTTAACCCCCACAGGTCCTGCCCCTGTAGAGTAGGATGTAGGCGGGTAGGGGAGGAATGGTGCGGTGGGGGAGGGGGCTGGCAAAAAGATGTTCAAGCTGGAAACAAAGGGAGGATGAGAATTCCACCCCCCTTCCCCGCCCCATTTGATCCGGGACAATAGGAGTCCCTGAGGACTGTGTGGGCAGAGCGCAAGGATACAAATTTAGAGAGTTACCTGGAGTCCATCAACAGGAAGAAAACCAAGCCAGACCGGTTCAAGCAGAAGTCAGGGTCTCAGGGGACTTTGCGGGCCCTTTCGAGGGCTGCCAGCGGGGCAAATCCCACAAGGACCTGTCAAGAGTATGATATCTATTTTGTATCCAGGACAAGGGGCAGCCCCTTCTTCTCTCACGGGAGCCCCGCCTGCACTCCCCATTTAGGGAATAGCCCAGTCCTGAGAAGAACCATGAATTTAGTGGTCAGCCTCCTGGGACCTTGGTCCAGGCTATCAGAGAGGCTCACTGTTCTCCTCCCTCATGCTGGACTATCCTTTAGGTGAGCACCTCAGCGCTGCATTTGCCCGGGTGAACCCCATGAAGAAGGTACCAGCCATGAAGGATGGTGACTTTATCTTGTGTGAGAGGTAACAGGGCCTGGGGCTTTTGCCAAGCTTTACTGGAAACCAGCCTGTGCTAACCCTCTGTGTTATCAACTAGGACGCTGGCGCTGGGGGAGGAGGAAAGGGGGAGGGGAAAAGGTGATGGGGAAGGGGGAGGGGTGGGGGAGGAGGAGGAGGATGGTTTAGTTGTTTAGAGCACTTGTACTGTTCTTGTAGATGACTTGAATTTGGTCCCAGCAACCATACAAGGTGGTTCCCGAACACTAATAACCCCAGTTCTAGAGATCCATTGCCCTGTAGCATCTAGTGCGCATGAAGTCACGTAGATACACATATATACGTACCAGCAACCTAAACTCCCTAAAGCAGTGGATCTCACTCTTCCTAACGCTCAGACTCTTTAATGCCGTTCCTCATGTTGTGGTGACCCCCCCCCAACCATAACATGATTTCATTGCCACCTCCTAACTGTGATTTTGCTACTGTTGCCAATTGTAACATAAATAACCAATATTTCCAAAGGTCTTAGGGGAACCCCTGCAAAAAGGGTTGTTTTAACCCCAAAGGGGTCACGACCCACAAGTTGAGAACCTCTGCCCTAGAGGCAGGGAGCTGCTGTGCCCCCATAGTTCACAGAGCTGTGGCTGGAACCCAGGACCCTGCCTACCCACTGTCCAAGTTTATTGAGCTGGTTTTGGGAAGGTACTACTTCTACCTGATTTCCGTACCAGGGTGTGGTTGTGGATTAAAATACCCCTGGGGGAGGGAGGGTGGAAAGCTTCCCTCACCATGGACACCACCCTCTAGCCCAGCTGGTGTCAGAGAGGACCCTGTGACATCTGGGCTTCCACTGTCTCCATTTCGAGGGTTACTGGGCCTCCCTTGGGTGAATCTTCCCTACGAAATGAAGATGTTTTATATCCCAGCTGTTCTCAAGGTGGTGAAACGTTTCTCTTCAGGGAAGCTGACCCTTTTGCTCAGGTCTGCCCCTTTTGTCACACGAGTCACCTATCCCGTTGCAAGGGGAACCCAGAGTATATGCTTTTGAATTCATCTCTGATAACTCAGGATGGATGTGGCCCAACAGAGACATCACCATCCTCCCTTCTGGTCACCCCCCTGCTAGCAAGTAGATTAGCAGCAAAATCAGTTATGAGGTAGCAATGAAGCTAATTTTTTGGTTGGGGGGTCACCACAATGTGAGAAACTATATTAAAGGGTCATAGCTTTAGGAACGTTGAGAACCCCTGCTCCAGGGAATTTAGGTTCCTACTTCATTTATGTGTGAATCTACATGAGTTTATGCTATCCTGGGTCCTTTAGTTTGCAGAGAGTTGTACCTTAAATAGGTACCAGCCAGGGGCATCTTGCAATCTCTGCTGTCTTCTTCACCCTGGGGAGGTCTGTGACTCGGAAGAACCTGCACCGCCCCCCCCCCCCAACAGCAGGGTCCTGGACACATAGCTACATCACAAAGAGTATGTCCTACATGGAAAACTGAAGTATTCAGTTGGGCTGTGGGTGCAGGCCTATCTGTTGTAGACACAACCTTACTAGATAGCTTAGTCCGGTAAGCTTCTGCTTACCTGCCTCTTCCCCTCGGGTGCTGCGATTTTATGTTATTGCCTGACAAAACTTTTCCTGGGGAGACACTTTATAGACATCTATTCACTCCAGATAGAGAGCCCATGACACACCAAAGTATGGATACTACCAGAGTCCAACTTGGTGAGTGCACTGTACAGCCTGCAGGCAGCTCAGCAGGTTGGTGAATGTCCTTTCCAAGTGACTTAGTTCTAAACCTCTTCCAGGCAGCTCCTTCGGTTTTTGCTTCTTCTCAGCAGCTGGTCTGGTCTCAGATTCTTCTTTGCAGCTTGGCTAGTCTGAGAGACTGTAATCATTGTTATTTACTCAGGGAAGGAGGGACCTAGTGAATCTGTTCAATTTCAGGGACTTCCTGGAGCTATTTTGTGTTGTAGAAAAAAACTTTTTATTATGTTTGTGTGTGTGTGGAGGTATATTCTCTTTCTGTCTTTAAAGATTCATTTTTTATTTTATTTATATGAGTACACTGTAGCTGTCTTCAGACACATCAGAAGAGGACACAGATACCATTACAGATGGTTGTGAGCCACCATGTGGTTGCTGGGTATTGAACTCAGGACCTCTGGAAGAGCAGTCACTACTCTTAACTAACTGCTGAGCCATCTCTCCAGCCACCATGTTGGAGAAATTTTTAATCCCAATCTGGGATTTCTAACCTGCCTTTGATTATTCAGTTCCCAGATAAAAGACACACAACTTATATATTTATAAGAAGTCTTAAACAGCACAAGAGCTGGTCAGATATCTACTCTCTGTGCTATTAGAATCTACTTATATATTAATAACCCTGAATTATTACTCACTTGTTTTATCTGGGCTGCTTTTATCTCCAATTGGCCAGCCCTCGGGGCCATGTTTTCCTGAGCTTACCTAGCCCATGACAGCTTCTCATTCCTCATTCCTTCTCACCTCTTCTCCCCTGTGTGATTCTCTCCTGGTCCCCCTCCCCCATCCCCTGGCCCAGGAACCCTAAAACCTGCCTGTGTCTCTTCTGCCCAGCTATTGGCTGTTGGCATAATTACTTACCAATTAGAAGTAACTTAGGACAAGGTCACATAGCATCAGTTGGGTCTACATGCAGATTCTCTGGGGCAACTGGGTCTTGGGGGCTGACACTTAGCATTACAGTTCACAGCTCAACAATCTTGGGTCGGTTAGTATTTAATGAGCTTCCCCCTCGGATGGAATGTTTGAAACTTGGAGGAGAAAACATGTACAGCCTACCCTTCCTAGTCACTATAAGCCAATCTCAAAATGTTCCGAATTTTTTTGTTTGTTTGTTTTTTTGAGACAGGGTTTCTCTGTGTAGTCCTGGCTGTCCTGGAACTCACTCTGTAGACCAGGCTGGCCTCGAACTCAGAAATCCACCTGCCTCTGCCTCCCAAGTGCTGGGATTAAAGGCGTGTGCCACCCCACCTCCCCAGCGTGTTCCGAATTCTTGACTCAAAGTTTCCATATGACCACAACTAGCATATCCAGTATCCTTTAGGGTCTCTCCCCATCTCCCCAGAAGCAGACTAATCCAAGGCAGGAAGAATGTTCCAGGGAGTCTTGCTTTTTTTGTGGTTCCAGGATCTTACAGCAGGAAGGACTGGTGTCAGGACACCCCAAGACCAAGGTCTCAGCATAAAGGAGATATATTTGTCCCAGAGGGAAAACAGGCAGGGGATACCAGACAAGGACAGGAGACAGAGGACAAGATAGAGGGAAAGAGAACAGGGGAGAGGGGAAGGGGTATTTGTCCCAGAGAGACAAAGGATGGCTTTTGGATAGAGAGGAGACAGATATGGCTGTGGGCAAATGGCAGTTTATAAAGGAAAAGGGGGACCCTGGGAACACCCCCCCACCCTACCCCCAACACCAGCTGTGTTAGGATGAGTTGCTTTGTTTTGATTGGGCACGTTAATTAGGGCGGCCAAAAGTTGGCTTTCGATTGCTAGACTTCAATACTTTGATGGTTGGACCTTGGTAGTCAGCCTCAGGAGGAAGAAGTGGCCAAATAAGGGAACAGACCTTGGTGGCTAGCTTTAGGAATGTTATTTAGTGGTTTAGCAGGGCAGAGGGGGATGGGAGAAGGGCAGGACCTCCCAGAACCCTGTTTGCCATGCTCAGGCTGGCTAGAGCCCCTCAACGGTGCCCCAAGTGTCTGACTAAGATTTGAGCCGGGCAGTGGTGGCACACACCTTTAATCCCAGCACTTGGGAGGCAGAGGCAGGCAGATTTCTGAGTTCGAGGTCAGCCTGGTCTACAGAGTGAGTTCCAGGACAGCCAGGGCTATACAGAGAAACCCTGTCTTGACCTCCCCCCCCCCAAAAAAAGATTTGAAAGATCCAAATTGATCCTTAGCAGAGGTGACACGAGGAACAGAGGGGCCAGGTATGATGTTCACGCCTGCAACCCTACAGTTTCAGAGGCAGAAGCCAGAGGATTATGGATTTGAGGCTAGTTTAGGCTATCTCAAAGAACAAAGGGTGGATTGGAAAAGCCCTCTTTGAACTATCAGGCCACCCGAGGCTGTCTGTCAAAGGATGAGAGTGGCTGTGGTTTGAAGAAAAGCAAGCTTCCTCAAAGCTCAGCTTAAATACCTCTCCCCGAGGAGGCTGTCTGGCCCTATACTCAGAAACTCAACCCTTGATGGGACACTGAGTAGTGAGATTTTTGCCTGGTGGCTGCCCCCAGCCCCTCGGGGGATTCAAGGAGACCCTGGGGAAGGGGGCAAAAGAATGGGGGGGAACAAGAGACACAAAGACAAAGCACTAAGCTAGATGTCTGATCAAGCGCTTAAGCTTTATTGCTCAGGCTGCTGTTATAAGGATGAACAAGCGGGAAAGTTATCTAAGGGTCAGGGTTCAGGGCTATCCCACCAACATCTCTAATTTCCTGGTACCTGTAACCGCAATGCTCCCACAAACATTCCTTAGCTTAAGCTGTTTATCTAGCTAATATTTTCTCACAGGCAGGAGGGTAGTAAGACATTCTTTTTGTTTTGTTGTTTTGTTTGGTTTGGTTTGTTTTTTTGAGACAGGTAGTGAGACATTCTTTTTTTTTTTTTTTTTTTTTGGTGTTTCGAGACAGGGTTTCTCTGTGTAGCCCTGGCTGTCCTGGAACTCACTCTGTAGACCTGGCAGGCCTTGAACTCAGAAATCCGCTTGCATCTGCCTCCCAAGTGCTGGGATTAAAGGCGTACGCCACCACCGCCCGGTGTAGTGAGACATTCTTAACACAGGTTGCTTATCTAACTAGTATTGTCTCAGGAGTAGGAGGCTCCCTCCTACAAAGTCTTGGCTCCCTCTGCATCACCTTGGGAAAACAAAACCCAGTTCTGACGCTAAGAGAGAGCTCTGTGCCCCTGGAGGCAAGGCAAGGCTCTTCCCTTTTCTGAGCCTGCTTTCCGTATCTTGAAAAAGAGTCTCCAACTGGCTCACTGTCGGAAAGATCAGAAAAGGTAGGGACTGGAGAGGTGGGTCCACGGTTAAGAGCACTGCCTGTTCTCCCAGAGATCCTGAGTTCAGGTCTCAGCAAATCAGATTGCAACTATCTATAATGAGATCTGATGCCCTCTCAGGCATACATGCAGACAGAACACTTAAGTACATAAAATACATGCATAAATAAATCTGTAAATAAAAAGGAAAAGAAGGTACCGGACATCGAGTCAACCCAGTGATCTTTAACTATCTGTCTCGCTCTCCTGCGCACACAGTGTGGCTATCCTGCTCTACCTGGCCCACAAGTATAAGGTTCCTGATCACTGGTACCCCCAAGACCTGCAGGCCCGTGCTCGTGTGGATGAGTACCTGGCATGGCAGCATACGAGCCTTCGGAGAAGCTGCCTCCGGGCCCTGTGGCATAAGGTGAGAGCAGAAATGTGGGGGAAGGGAAGGGAGGAAGGTGTCACTCCAGAGATACTCAGGCCTCAGCAAGTTACTTTCAGTTTGGTATTGTCCAATATCTTGACTTTAATTTAATCCTGACTGTTGTTCAAAACAGTATGTATTTGAGACATACCGTCTCGGCCCAAATTTGCCATCTCTCTGTGCACTTTGATCCTCTTGTATTTTAAGTTTGTTACTGCTACACCATTTGTTAACTGTGTGTGTAATCGGGCCACCTTGTGCACATCAAAGTAGGTGGACAACTCTAGGAAATCAATTCTCACCGTCCATCTTGGTGAGGCAGGACTTCAGGCTGCCCGACCTTTGAGTTCCTACCTCGGGCTTCTCCTGTCTCCTCTCCCATCTCACTGTAGGTATGAAAGCTGGGATTTACACCATGCCTGGCTTCTTTTGTGGGTTCTGGGGGTTGAGCTGGGTTTGTCAGGCTTGCCCGGCTAGAACTTCTACTTTCTGAGCCGTCTTCCAGGTTCTGTTGTAAGGACCCAGGAAGAGGACCCCAACTCAAGTCCCAATTAGCGCGCACCCAAGGAGACACGAGAGACTTACTTGATGCAATGGCAAAAGGCAGTTTACTAATAAGGGCCCTTGGATCGAAACTCATCCCACGCAGGGGAGAGAATTTCGATGAAGACCCCAGGAAGTTTAGAACTTTTATAGGGGGAGGCACAAGGGGGAAGGGAAAAGTGGGAAATTCTGGCGCGATTACATATGATTGGATATTTCAAACATCAGCACTTTGCGTAAGCAATCATTTTGACAGGCTGGATGGCCCACTATTTTTGACCATGAAGCCTCAGACCTTCTAGGATAAACACCAGGTGGCCCATTACTCACTTGGGCATGTTTAGACTGGTCAAGATATGTCTTTGGTTGTTTCTAAATTTCTGGTCACCTCGTCCCTAGAGGGGCTTGATATTTTTATTATGGCTACTCTCAGTAAGCTCAGCAAGCTGTCCTGCGGTCTTTGCCAAGTTGTTTGTGGTCTCTGCTGAGCTGTTTTAATTTTTACCCTTACACTGTTACCATTACTTAAATGTTCTCTTCAGCTCAGCTGATAATGTAGCTGAGTGGCAGAGCGCTTGTGTAACAAGCGCATCGTCCCAGTTGTTGAAATCTCAGCACTGGTGTGTGTGTGTGCTTATGTTTGTGTGTGTGTGTGTATGTGTGTGTGTCTGAGTGTGTGTCTGAGTATGTATGTATCTGAGTATGTGTCTGTGTGTGTGTCTGAGTTTGTGTCTATGTGTATGTGTCAATATCTTTGTGTGCATGTGTGTATGTGTGTGTGTGTCTGAGTGTGTGTGTCTGAGTATGTGTCTGAATGTGTGTGTATGTCTGAGTATATGTACGTCTGAGTATGTGTGTGTCTGAGTGTGTGTGTCTGCCTGAGTGTATGTGTGTCTGAGTGTGTATGTCTAAGTGTGTGTGTATGTTTGAATATGTGTGTGCCTGTGTGTGT